TTCCTCAGTAACGTTTTTAGTGGGATAAACAAGAAGTGGATCCAGCTCCAGGGGAGGTTATTCCCAAAGTTCAGCCAGGAGACTGCCTTGACTCCCTCCACATGGATAACAACAACTCCCAATGCCTGGGCACCTTCGACAACGAGCGTTGACTGGGATGAAACTCTCTGGGATCTCTGGGACACAACCCCCCATCCCAGCGAGGGCCGGGATGGCTCCTGTTTTCCCAGGAATCCGTGTGAAAGGACACACATTGCTCCGGACCCGCCTCCCGCCCCACTGCTCTGGCTGTGCCCTTGGAAAATCCGGCTCTGGAGGTGCCCTCGGCCTCCCGGTGGCCTCGAGGGGGGTGATAAGGGTGGGAACTCGGGCGCGTGGGGCGATAGCTCTGCCCAGATAAGGTTTTACCTGGGAATAAAGCCCGGCATAAATCCCCCTTTTCCCAGGCCGAGCCGAGCCCGCGGCGAAGATGAGGCTGGTTCTGCTCCTCAGTGCCCTCCTCGGGGCTTCCCTGGCCCTGGAGACCTTCGTGGGGTGAGTTCCTCTGGGTTTTGGTTTGAGTTCCTCTGGGTTTGGGTTCGAGTTCCTCTGGGTTTTGGTTCGAGTTCCTCTGGGTTTTGGTTCGAGTTCCTCTGGGTTTTGGTTTGAGTTCCTCTGGGTTTTGGTTCGAGTTCCTCTGGGTTTGGGTTCGAGCTCAGCTTTGCAAACCCCGCCCGGGGCACATTCCTGGCGTTCTCCGACCGATTCCTCCCGTTCCTTTCCTTCCCTGGTGTTTGAAGGAACCTCTCTCCGCTCGAATTCAGGTTTTCTAAGCACTTGAGCTCCTGAATTCCTGCTCATCCAAGGCTTTTTTTTTGGCTTTTGCTGTTCCCCAAGCTTTGAGCTGGGCTTAAACCTCGAGCTTGACAGACCTAGTCCAGCACAAAGCAGAGCCGAAAACCAGAGCCCGGCTTGGGATCAGAGATCTTTCCCCTTGTTTTCCCAGTTTATTTCTCCTCCTTTCCCTCATTTCTGCCTTCCTGAGCCATCCAAACCCTCGTCTCCAACCGTTAAATTCCAGAGGTTTATCTTTGGGTTGCGTTGCAAAAATTGTCTCTGACCCTGGAAGGACTTTTAGTAATTAAGAATTAAGAATTAAGAAATCCTGGGATTCAGTGAGTGAGCGCTGGATCCCAGTGAGTAAATCACAGAGATTTAAGGATTAAGAATAAAAAAATAATAAATATATCACTTACTCAAACCCAGGGCTTTGTGAGGCCAGGAGATCATTTGAACTTTGCTCGTTTAATCCCGGACCGAATTCTCACGAATCCGGCGACGTTTTCAGGAATATCCATCCCTGAAATAAAACAGAGGTGGAGAATCCAGTAACGAGTTATTAATGCGGAAAAACACTGATTTAAGTCGGTCCAACCAAAAAAAAAGCCTCATCCCTGAGCTGGGCAGAGGGAGAGACCTGGTGTGAGGTGGTGGTGAATAAACAGCCATAAATCTGAGTTTGGCTTTTACCTTTTTTGTCCCCATTTTAAGGTGTATTTTCCAGCTCTGGAGCTGACCCTGGAGTTGATCCTGGGTCGTGCTTCCAGTTGTTGTCAGTCAGTCCACAGTGGGTGGAGCGAGGAGGTGCTTCCAGAGGGGGATTCATTCCCCCTTGGAATGGCGTCACCCAGCCACGATCCGGGACTGAACCCAGGAACGAATCCCCGTTTTTAAATAAAAGAGATCCTGTGCCCCCCAAACTCCACCACCATGTCCTTTTTCTGCCGAAAAACAGCTCATAAATTGAGTTTTATTGAGTTTATGACCAGGGCTGGTCCTCCTGGGTGGCCAAACCCTCCTCC